GTACCAAGTAGAATCTTGGGATTACCGAGCAGTTGTTTGTAAACAAATTTGGATCATCGTGAGTGACCAATGACCAATGACAAATCACCAATGATCAGTCATCAGTACTGGACACTTGTGGACTCCTGCTTCAGTGTTCAGACATACTCTCATATCGTCTCCTCTTCTCATTTACCTTTCCTTGATATTTCCTCTTTTCTAATCAGTCAGGTAAGGAATAATATTTTTCAAAGCTTTTTCTGAGATTTCTCATACCTACACTTAGTAGTTAAGGAAAATCAGCATGTAATAATAGAGGAAAGTATTGAAATAGAATATGGTAAGCCTTATTTTAGCTTGATGTTCACATTTGCTGTGTGATTTTAGACACTGACTACCTTTCTCTCAAATACAAAGGGTATTTCTTCATTTATTAAATTATATTTCATGAATATTTATGACCTCAAGTACAGGTTTATATGTGAGTGTTCAATCTTTGTGTTTCCTTTTCCTTTTAATAGTATTTGGACATGATATCCATGAAATAAAGTAAATCAGAGACAATATTTTGACAGAAACAGAAAATAAAGTTTTGGTAGAAAACCTAATATCTACCAGGATGTTTTATCTGTATCGGTCTCCCCACTTGTATTTATAATTTAGTATTTTAAACTTATCGCTATTCAAAAGTTATTATCATGTATCTTTTGAGTTTTTTTTCTAAACTCGATGATAAGAAAAACTGGATTGTGGGAAAGGTGTGGAGTGCTGAGTGGTAGGGGGGCAAGTCCTCAAAGGTAAGTAAGTTTAGGGTTATTTTCAAAAAGCTTTGACAAACAGAAGCCAAGAAGTAGAAGATGATATGAGGGAGAATAAAATAGAAAAGAAAGATTATGGAGAGAAATTATCAAGGAAGGAGAAACAGTTTGAGATAGAATGTTGGAGAGAACCAAATAGTTCAAATCAAAACAGAAAGAATATATTTAAATATGCTGAGAGCAAGTCAAAGCAGTTGACTGTAATCAATTCTAGGACTAGAAAACATACTATGTCTCTAGTAGAGTACCTAACTCTACTAGAGGAAAAACAACCTATCCGAAAACCATGGCTGTGGTTTCTTTTCTTATGGTCTCTACAACACAGTTGGCACTTGGCGGTTTTGTATGTAAACACGTTTTAGAAATGATACTTCCTATAAGTAACTAATACTGGTTACCTAGGGCGATGGAAGATACATCATCTTCAATGTTTTTATTACATTCTAGTTTGTAAGGTACATGTACGGTCTGCCTGTTATAATAAAGAAGTGATATCTTCTAAGTTGAATCAGGAGAATTGATTCTTTTGTGTGATAAGTAGGGTCCAGGTAAAGGCAACTTGTCATCTTCACAAAGAGTTTCTTTCTGGGCTGGAGCGATATTTATGGCGTTTGCCTTGCACACGGGTAGGCCATTTACCATGTACGTGGACGACCTGTGTTCAATTCTCAGCATCCCGTATGGTTCCCTGAACACCACCAGGAGTAATTCCTGAGTGCATGAGCCAGGAGGTACTCCTGTGTAGTGCCAGATGTGACTAAAAAAGAAAATAAAGTAGTTTCTTCCTAACATGACAGCATTTTGATAGCAGTCGACATCTGCTTTTAGATCCTAAGAAGAAATAGACAAGTCAAGTCTCAGATGTCTAAGTATACACTGATTTCAGTTTTGTGGAGAGTGATATTTCCAACATTAAAAATATTTAACTTGGATTTTGGTGATTGTTTCTGAAAATTGGGAAGGACAATTTCCTGGTTGATAAAGATACTTGTCATTTAGGTTTTAAAAATAAATCTGAAATTTTGTGACCATTTTTTAAATTGTCTTTTCTCCTTTTTTTCTGATATACTGAAATGGTATGCTCTATTTAATATCTGTTGTTTGATCGCTAATATTCAGGCATATGAATGAGAATAATAATATCACGGTCACCATCCTCCCGTTGTTCATCGATTTGCTCTAGTGGTCCCAGTAACGTCTGCATTATGACACTTGTTACTGTGTTTGGCATATCGAACACATCACGGGGAGCATGCCAGGCTCTGTCATGCAGGCGAGATACTCTCGGTAGCTTGCCAGGCTCAACGAAAGGGGCGGAGGAATCGAACTCGGAATGACTTGTTGGCTGCTTGCAAGGCAAACGCCCTACTACTGTGCTATCGCTCCAGCCAAAAACAGTGTCATTTCCTTGTTATTATTATATTTATTTCTGCTTTATACTCCTTTAAAATATATACTGGCTGCAAAATGCAATCACATTTATTATATTTTCTGCTTGTTATGTCAGTTACTGGTAAATCTTCTGTTTTATGAACACTCAAAAATCACCTTCTATTGCCTTATTAGGCTAGTAGTTTTTGCTAAAATAGAATTTCATCTTCATATTGTATACATGACACAATTTCTTAATAAACTTTTGTATTCTTTCCTTTGTTGTGTTTGGGGACAACATTCACTGTTGGTCAGGGCTTACTCTTGGGGCTGCTCTCAATCAATTACTGTACTATGTTGCTTGCCACCTAGCCCTGATTTCATTAATACATACATACATCTTTTTCAGTTCTGTGATACTTATTTTTCGTGATTTTTCTTGGTCTCTATTCTTCTCACATGTAAGTCACGTGAAAAAGAAAAATTTTATTTCTCTGTGCACATTATTCTTAATTAGAGTTGTAAGTAACTCCTTTGCAGGAAAGCAACTTGAGAGTCAGAATTTAAACAACACTTTTCCTTGCAAAAGCACATCTTGAGAAAAAATAAAGTACTCATTTTTGAGGGGGATCAGAAACCAGGATACAGTTGTGAACCTTTAATTCATCAAGCAGATTGACTTCTATGTGAGGTGTAGGTAATAGATAGGAACTACACAAGAAAAAGTAAAACCTGATGATTACACTACTAATAGTTGTAACGACCCCACATGCCTATATGAATGGAACGTATCATCCTCATAGTTTCTGACATTGTATTGATCAAGGCAGAGTCCTGGAAAGAAAGTCCACATGCTTAGGTTCCGTAACCTGTTAATACATAAGGGACAGCGAGATAGTGCAGGAGGGGATAAGGCATTTGCCTTATAGGCAGCTAATCCCGTTGGATCTCTGTCACTGCATCCAGTCTCCTGAGCACTTTAAGAGGTTACTTCAGATTACAGAGCCAGAAATAGCCCATGATCACTGCCAGATGTTGGTTCAAATCCACTCCACCCCAATATCAATAATAATAAAAAAAAAGATAAACGGGAAAGTTTGAACAAGTCTCTATGCCAATTCTGGGCCTCGGGTTTCTTTCTTCTCCAATAAAATGTTAGTCATTCTCTTAGGACTTCCTAGTTGTAAAATGTTTCCATTCTAGGCAATAATGTAAAGTTAAACAGGAGAGCAAGCTACAGACAGAGCTAGGACGAGGAGAAACTAGCTCTAAGTAACAAATCCATGTACCAACATCACCAGAGTCTTCTATAGCTCTGTGTTCACTTGGGGAGCGTGGTGCCAAATACATCAAGTGCAAAATGTTCCAGCCTTTGAATCACCCAAAGTTGTTTGGACTTTTTTAACTTACTTGACTGTTGGTATAAGAATCTTCTCTATACCTGAAACTTTAAGTGAATTTTGCTCCTCTCAAACGTTGTCAGAGGGGGCTGCAGTGATAGCACAGCAGGTAGGGCGTTTGTCTTGCATGCGGCCAACCCGGGTCCCATTCCCAGCATCCCATATAGTGCCCTGAGCACTGCTAGGTGTAATACCTGAGTGCATTTGCCAGGGGTTACCCCTGTGCATCGCTGGGTGTGACCCAAATAGAAAAAAAAAAGTTGTCAGAGGTTATCAGTATCACAGATTTTTTCCATCACCTTCTTGTTCCTTACAGAAAATATTCAAACTCCTTCTATATTGGGAACTGCACATTCTCTGCAGCTTCCCCTTCCCGTGTTGAACAATACAGCTTTCCTAACAGGAAGTGTATGCAACTACTCCAGCGTACCTACTCCAATTTGTAGATCTACTTGGCTCCTGCCCTCAGATTCTGGCATCTCTTTCCAAACACTCATGGGTAGTGCCGATCTTCACAAACAATCTTGTACAACAATGCTGCCTGGAGTGTCTGGTTAGAGCCAGCTATCCACACTGTCTACTTCAACCCAAGTGTTTTGGAGTGGGATATTTCAGGAAGTACTAAAAATTCTTACACGGAAGAAATTACTGTGACTATCCTTGACCAAAACACCACTGTCTCTTCCATGTCTATGGCAGTTTGCTATGAGAAAAACTTAGATACCAACCACACGGTGCGTCACTTTCTGCCAGTCTTGTTGAAAGGAAACCATCTCAGGTTCCAAATCTTAGTTAGGGCCTGTCGCTTCCCTACAAGAAAGGAAGCCAGGTGGTTTACTATCATTAGGCACTCTTCTAATGATAGAGGACCTACTATCATTAGGTCCTCTCCTTTCTGGAGAGGACATCATGACATGGGTGGAAAATAAACGACTTCCCCAGTTCTTTTATTGCTTGGAAGACCTAGATCAATGCATAGATCCGAAGGGAATGAACACCAGAGATACCATCACTCTGAATCAACGCCAAGAAAACTCAGATGTCACTAAGGGGACCTCCCACCCAATACGGAAGAAAAAACACCAGGCCTCTGAGATTCTGTAGGGAGAAGCCAAAGCCAAAACCCATTCCAAAGACCCAAAACACTTGCTAGGGGGAGCAGGGATTGTTTGCAATTCTGCATCCAGTGATAGGTGTCCTGTGACCATGGCCAAACCCAACAGCAAACCTCAGAAAGCTGCGTCCAGCAGGATCACCAAGACCAAGAGCAATGGGCAGGAGAAGACAAAAAAAGCCAGAGAAAACTCCAAGAAACCTGATGACAATAAGCAGACAGGCAAAAAGGCTCCTTCCCAGTCTGAGCTGCCACCTCCTGGGAAGGTCAAATTGGTACCTTTGCCTTTTCTTACCATGGGTTAGCCACAAGCTCGACATGTTCCTTGGAAACAACCATCTCTGGCTTCACATCGTCCTGCTGGATCTTACACTGCCAAGCCTGCTGTACCAACTCAACTTGGCCAACTGCCACCAATTCATCCTGGCCAGTGACTGCATCTTTGTCACGTCCTGTCAGACCAGCTTAGCCCATTTCGACCAACCCATCTCGACCAGCTTTGCTGAGCTCTACTAGCCGGCCTATTTCTCAGCCAGCAACTTCTAGATCTGCTCTCTCCAAGACAACAGCTAGCACTTCTCTCCAGAGGGGCCCTCTTCCTGTCTCTGGGACTGAGCGCCAGGCTCCACACAAATGGCAGAGTCAGTTTCTACTCCAAGACTTCCTTTTCCAACCAATTCCATGGAGAAAGCCCAATGTTCCCGAGCCACTCATGTCAAAGCTCCTCAACAAAGAGCAGAGACAAGAGCGTGAGGCTATGAAGAGGAAGGCTAAGCAGGAGCGTAAGAATGCTGCCAAATGCACCTCTTTGAGGAATGTGCAGTTTTTTATCCAGAGAGAAAAAGATATTGACATCTCTTGATTCTATGGCTATAAGTAGTTGGAATGGTTGGTGCCACTTTAGGTACCAGAGGGTTGCCTTACACAAACACTTGTAATGCCATACACATTTCATTTATTCTGATACATTTTTCAAAAAATAAATAGTAGCATATAAGTTAATAGATTAATAATAAAACTTCTGAATGTCGAGAGGCTTTCCATTGTGGTCATCATTTAGAGGGGGCGAGGATTCAAGGATTCATGAGAAAGAAATAGAAGTTAGAGGGGGGATAAAAGGGGAAACAGACAAGAAACTATGAAAGAGAAACTTTCTCAGGGTTGTAAAGCTCTTTAGAGGAGAAATTTTATTGTCCTGATGATGAGTTATGGTTGTGGGGCAGAGAAATATTATACCTGATAGGGCACTGCAAGAGGCTGACCCAAGATTCATCCCTGGAATCATATGTGGTCCCAGAAGTTTCACTAGATGTTATCCTTGAGCACAGAGCCAGGAGTAAGCCCTGAGCACAGGCAAGTATGTTTCCATCGCCAGTCTCCTTTAAAAAAGAATGGGAGAAATGGTACAGTTAGAATGTTTGGTTTAATATAAAAAAATGGAATAGGCTGAAGAAGGAGAATTAGTATAATAAGATAACCTGATGAAAAGTAATAATATTTTCACAGAGGCTGTCTTTATGTTTCATGACCTCCCTTATTAAATAAAGAGATTTGAAGGATATTTCCAAATGTGTGGGTGGTCTATCCATATGTGATGAGGCTGTGGAATGCTAAAACATATACTAGGGAAAGAACCTATATATCAACAGTCAACAGCCCTAAGAGTTATTCAGGGGTTTCTGTAAATAGGGACCAAGCAAGAGAACAGTTGTAGCAAGAAGCCCGAATATCAGTTCTTGTAACATGTAAAGATCAATCGCCATGTACTCATTCCCATGGTTCAGCCACCCTAGATGCACCATTTCCATTCATCTTCCCAACAATACTCAGAGACTGTTTTACCGGGACAGTAGGCCAGCACAGTTCAACAATGAGGTCTATCTAACTAAGTGCTTTGGATTTGCAAACTCCCCAAGGTGGCCAATGTGTCTTTCAGACCACAGCATCCTGACATTACTCACTTGGGAATTCAAAATATATTAGCTTCAGGGGGCGTCGCGGGGGTTTTCCGCGGTGCCTGGTGCCTGCATCTTGCTTCAAACATCGATGTTAATGGAAGCTCACATTAAAACCAATGCTATAACTGGCGTTGGAGGCTGGGCCGTGGGAGAATCCGGACTTGGACATGCGCACTAGGTCGTCACTCTCAGAGCGTTGGGACCTGCTCTTCTTGAGGCTGGGAAGAGATGGTGCTGGGAGAGATATGGGGTGATGAATGAAAAGGAAGGAAACGGGAAAGGACTGGGACCAGGACACCGGATGGGCATGATGGGGAAAATGGTGGGTTACATTAAAATGTTTTTTAGTGAAAAACTGTATTCCATTCACCAAAGAAACAACAAAAGTAGGAAAATAAAATAGGTTTAAAATTACAGGTCACATACAAGGTCAGAGAGAGCTCAAAGAGCTGAAGTTCGTTCTGGAGCTCCTCCTGGATTTTGGGCAGACAGCCTGGTTCTTTCAGCATCACGTGGTGTGACCACAAAACAACAACCAAGTGTTAAACATGCAAAGACAAAAGAAACAAAAATCAAGCTGCAGAAAATGAGATTGGTGACTCGTTTTTCTTTTGGGGTGCAGTGTGAGAGACTTTGAAGTGAAGTGTTTTAAGTATTTCTTAAGGGGAAAATAATAAGAACACCTTGGCCAGCACAGAGATTAGGGGCCAGAGGGGAGAGTCTTATGGGCTTCTATTTCTACAGTAAAAAAGTAAGGTGTGCTGCACTTACATAATTTAGAGTTTGAAAAGAAGGAAAAATCTGACACAGCCCAACAGTTATTTCCAATTTTCCTAGGTGCTTCTAGGCAATGACTAAAAGAGAGAGAACTTGTATCCTTTTAAAATACAAACATTCATAAGCAATTTTGTTCATGGGATCCATCATTTAAGACATATTTCAGTGACATTTGCTATACTTGGTAGTTTTGCAACTATTACCATTATTTTATCCATGGGCTGGAGCTATAGTACAGTGGGTAGGGTATTTGCCTTGAAAGCGGCCCACATGGGCAACCTGAGTTCGAATCCTCCGCCCCTCTCAGAGAGCCCAGCAAGCTACTGATAGTATCTCTCCCACATGGCAAAGCCTGGCACGTCACCCATGACTAATTCGATATGCCAAACACAGTAACAATTGTCACAACGGAGACGTTACTGGGCCCGTTCGAGCAAATCCATGAACAACTGAAGGACAGTGACAGTAATAGTGACCATTATTTTATCAATAACAGTTTCATCATTTCCAAACACAGCCTCTTCACTACCCACTGACCTCTCCATTTTCTGTCTCCTTTAGTTCCTGGCAACACTCTTCTTTTGTCTTTATGAATTTTCATTCTCTACACCCTTCACATACATGGATCTTAAGATATGTGACACTTTTGGAAGCCTTTTGAAAACCCTGATGCTTTCAAATTTCATAACCACTACAGTATGTCATTACTTCTTTCGACTAATATTCTGTTTTATGGATCTATCATATTGGAGAGGTTTCCACACTTTCTAAATGCACAGATCCCTGCAGATCTCATAAATTGGCTAAAAGAAATATTAATAGTGGTTGTACACATAGTACAGAGGATAGGGTGCTTGTCTTCAACACAGTAGGACTGCTTGGGTCCCTGGCACTCCATATGTCCCCTGATCCCTGCCAGGAGTGACTTCTGAGCACAGAGCCAAGAGGAAGCTCTGAGCACCATCACATGTGGAAACAACACACAAAAAAATCAAAGCATTCACACACACTCAAGATCCAGTCCCAGATCCAGTCATGGTGTAGAATAGATAATGGCCATTCAAAGAAACCATCAATCCTGCAAATATTCCTTTGTTTAGTAAACCTTGATTGAATAGATGCTATGGCCGGCAATGAACAGATCTGGTGAATTATCATGTGAGTCAATGGAATAACACTTGTTCTGACACAATGGAAGAAGATGATGAAGATGAAGGGGAAGTTCATGTGAACTTCGAGGCCAAGACTTGAGTTTCTTAACTACCAGACAAATTGAGGTCATCAGAATTTAACAGAAAATACAGGGTAAAGACCTTCTAAACAAGGCATATATCCTGACTAACATGTTTTTCCCAATGATCTGTATGTGAAATTTCTGGCTTCCAGGAGAGTGGATTTTTTTTTCTGATGTTTAAGCTAACAGGTGATTGGTTACAGCAATCACAGAAAACTTAAACAAACAGCACATCAATAACACAATAGACTGAAAAACAATACAGTGCTCCAGCAACAAATATTTGAAACCAGTACTAATAAAACCTAAAAATCTTTTTCTATTTCACTCTTAAATAAACTACTTGATAATGGAACATGTGTAGCTATTGGGCAAGTAGCAACGTCTTGAACCAGGATTTAAATTAAAATGGCCAGTGTCTTTCCCTGCTCCACATTAATTTTCAAACTATTTTGAGTTTTTCTTATAGTGACTCCTCCAGGAATGATTCCTGAGTGCAGAGCCAGGAATAATCCCTGAGCATAACCAGGTGTGGACCACAAACTAAAACAAATAAATAAATAAATCAGATTTTCAAATTTTCCTATCCAATTATTAGCCATATTGTCCATAACTCAACCACCTGTATTCTCAAAGCCACTCGCCACACGCTCAGACAAGCCTCACCCATGAATGAATCTATTCCTGGACCTCTTATACTTTACACCACTAATAGATCAAGAGTAGCACACCACATTTGATGGGATTTATAATAGAAGGCAAGTGTTTGGTGGGCTTGCACTCCAGGGCAGTGTGCCCAGAGATCCAGCTCAGGGAACTGCAAGACTCCTCACTGTTGGCCATGCCGCCAACCCCCAAGACACTCAAGACAGAGGCGTTCCCCAGCAAGTTTTAGGACTGCATCAGAAGTGGGACTTTTTTCTTGATCAGGTGCCATTGAGGCTTACTTCCCCAAAAGTAGAGCAGAGGCGGTGGGCTTGGGCTCCAAGGCAGCAGTGCCGCATGTGGCTGCTGTAATTTTCCCCTTTCTCAACACTTTGGACTCACATCTCAATCTCCATGACCTAATTTTGAGGAGGACAGCCTGGCTGTCACAAATACATTATGCTAATAGTCCACTAGCCTATTCCAATATCACCAAAAAAATTGAACACAAGAAACTGGACAAGTCTAACATTAAAGAACACATATCTGTAACTGCACTAGAGGACTCACAGAAGTCACAAAGGAGCAACACCAAAGAGGAAGCTAGTATTCTAAAGGGGGAAAAGGTGACCACCTTCGAAGAGCTCATCCAGAATCCTTTCTGACAACAAGAGGGGAATATTGAGAGTTTTTTTCTGTATCTTTTTTTTTAATTATGAAGGGTCTTTGAATGACTTTTGGAATTTTTATGGCTGAAAGAGAGTAAACATTTAAAAATAAATATACTCCAACAAAATTGTAATCCACTTCTGCTACAGCTAATACCCAGTTCTGGGTATGGTACAAAAGTGCTAAATCAAAGCAATCCTTAGAAAAAAACTACCACCAACAACAACAAAACAACCAATATTCTACTTTAATAATCGAGGCTCTACTTTTTCCTCTATTTGATATTTAAGATTTGATCTCCATCATCAAAAAAAATCAGAATTTACCTTGTAATATTTTTATCTCTTGAATTAAATCAGATTATTGTATGAAGCTGCTTAAATGTCTAAATTCCCTTCTTCAAAAACCTTCAGGCCAGACGTACTTAGAATCTATACTCAGGTTTCTGAAGGTTAGGCGACATTACAAAATAGCTCTGGCTGGGGACAGTTCCTAGAATCAAACCCACGGCAGACAATTCTTTGGGTAAATCAACCAATAGTTCATGAAGTAGTAAAAAACAAACAAACAAACAAAAAACTGAATTCATCTCATGTTTGTTCAAGTCAGGAGTTGCTAACAAAAAACATGGCACCAAATTCAGAAAGAGCAAAAATAAACTCCTAAGTTTTCCATGCAGAGGGTAAGAGACTATGGCCCTTTGGCCTCTGACAAGCAAGGGACTGGGGACCACTGGGCCTCACAGATGGCCTAGAGCTCAGGTGGCTACCCACAGGTGTGCATGCTACATGCCTGCTATGGTACCTCAGGCTGACAGCCATCATGGATTCAGTTTCCATACACAACAACAGTGAAAGGTTCGTGCCTTCACGGGGCATTTGTAAGAGAAGAACAGAAGAAAGAAGCGTCCTCAGAGCAATGGACCCCCTTTCCTTGACTTAAAGGCAGCCAACTATTGGTGGCAATGGCTGCCTTCCCCAAGGACTACCATCAGGTTTACCACTGTGGGTGCCACAAGTTGAAAAGACTTGCAAAACCATGATGGCGCCCCCCACTCCTAAACCCAAATGCTGATGATCACCTCGTCTTGATGGTGTTTAAAGGACGCGACTCTCAGACCTAATTTAGATGGAGCTCTTCATCATGGCTGATGGAAGCCTGCTGGATAGTGTGTTTTAAAAGTCCCTTTTTGAAGTGCAGAGGATTAAAAACTCACATGTGCTAGGGGAAAAGGAGGCTCAGATAGAGAAGAGAGCACCAAATAAAGGGTGTTGTGAGGATCCTCCCAGGGTGGGAGAAGCATGCTGAAAGTAGACTATAGACCAAACATGATTGCCACTCATTGCCTCTCTTGCAAAACACAGGACCCAAAAGAAGAGAGAGAGAGAACAAGGGGGAATAATGCCCTGCCAAAGAGGCAGGGTGGGGTGGGGGGAATAGGGGTGGGAGGGGTGCTTGGACCCGTGGTGGTGGAGGATGGGCACTGGTGGAGGGATGGATACTTGATCATTGTATAACTGAAACCCAAGCACAAAAATTTGTAAGTCTATAACCGTACCTCATGGTGTTTCACTAATAAAAAAATTTAAAAAAATACAAACTCAAGAGAACAAAAGTCTGCTACACAACTTTAAGGTTGTGCTCTTCCAGAGAGTTGAGGGTATTGGAAATAATTTATAAAAGCATCTTTTGCAAATGTTGGGGTTTTCCCTCCCAGCATCAACCGGAATGTGCGAGTATGTATGTATGGGAGGAGAGACAGAGGGTTTCACGGTTGGGGAAAGTCCCCCACAAGCCAAAGGACGTCAGGGTGACAGTGTGAGGCGGGTCTCGGGTAACACTCCCTGGAGGCACTTGCTGTGGAAACCAGCCTGGGGTCTGGAAGCAACACCAGGGCCCCTCTGAGAGAGTGAGGCGAGGAGTTTCTGGGCGGTCACAGAAAGAACAGGACTCCGGCTCTCCTCCAAAATGAGCCTCGTTCAAGCCAGCCACATCCCCTCCCCTCCGCTGGCCCACGCATGAACAGGGTTCCAGAACTGACCATCCGTCCTTCCTGAAGTGACCTCCGTGCGCCCAGAACGCCACACTTCTCAGTTTCACGCCAGCTTTAATGAGTCAGGAATCAGTGTTAATCACTTAATCACTTAACTTCCCGTTAGTCGTCGATTTGCTCAAGCAGGAGCCAGTAACGTCTCCATTTGTCCCTGTCGCGTGCTAGTGTAGCCCAATGGCATCTGTTCGCTCCGGGAACATGAAGGGCCTCAAACCGATCGTTCATGATCTTCACGAAGAAGTCTGACCATCTGGTAGGTGGGCGGCCACGCGGTCTTTTGACACCCCGTGGAATCCAGTCGGTAACAGCTCTAGTCCAGCGGTTGTCTTTAAATCTCATTACGTGACCAGCCCATCTGATTTTCGACACCTTGGCAAATGAGACAGCGTCCCTGATTCTTGATTGTCGACGGATGTCGGAACTCCGGATTCTTTCTCTCATTTCAGTGAAACGTGATATTCCAAGCAGAGGTCTTTCTATTCTTCTTTCAGAGACTTGAATAGCGTTCTCATCCTGTTTGCATAGGGCCCAGGTCTCTGAGGTATATGTTAATGCAGGAAGAACAGTGGAATCAAAGAGATGTGCCCGGAGCCAGAGGTTCTTCGTCCTCTTAGCTATTTCTTCGACGTTCTTGAAGGCGTTCCAAGCCACTCTCTTCCTCCTGCGCAGCTCGAGTGCCAGGTCATTTGTCATGTTGACCTCTCGACCTAGGTACACATAGCTGTTGCATTCGGAGATGGTCATTCCATTGAGAGTGAATGGGGCATCAGGAACGAGGCTGTTTCTCATAAACATTGTCTTCGTAAGATTCAGCTGTAGTCCTACCTTTCCACACTCACAGTCAAAGTCGGCCAGCATTTGTGCCACTTGGCTGATGTTTGGTGTTATTAAAACAATGTCATCAGCAAAGCGGAGGTGGTGTAGTTGCCGACCATCTATCTTCACTCCCATTCCTTCCCATTCCAGTTGTTGCATGATGTTCTCGAGGGTGGCACTGAAGAGTTTCGGTGAAATGGTATCACCCTGCCGCACCCCACTATTGACATCAACGATCACTTCTTTGTAGAATGGTGAGATCCTGGCAGTGAATCCGCAATACAGCTCACGGAGGATCCTGATGTATTGGGCTTGAATGCCCTGATTGGCTAGGGCTTCCATGACCGCTTCCGTCTCAACAGAATCAAAGGCCTTCTTTAAATCAATGAACGTTAAACAGAGCAGCATCTTGAACTCCCGAGAAACCTCAATGAGCTTGGTTATCGTGTGGATATGGTCGATGATGCTGAATCCTTTGCGGAACCCGGCTTGCTCGCATGGTTGTCCTTCATCTAGTGTTCTGCCAATCCTATTTAGGATGACGCGAGTGAACAACTTGTAGATGACAGACAATAGGCAGATCGGGCGATAGTTGCCAATGTCATGGATGTCTCCCTTCTTGAACAGTAGTACAGTCCTGCTGGTTTTCCACTGGGACGGAACCTTGCATTCAGACAGGTAGCGAGTGAAGAGCCGAGCCAGTGTATTTATGAGTACTGACGGCAGGCTTTTCAGGTGTTCAGGTTTGAACTTGTCTGGGCCGGGTGCTGTTTGTTTCTTTACCGACGAAATGGTGTGTCAGATTTCGGAAGGGAGAACGTTGGGAATTACATATCCATCCTGTGGAATTTGGTATGTCGGCAAGTGGACATGGCTGTCGAAGAGATTAGAGTAGAAGTCATGGATAATCTTCTCCATTGCCTTTCTGGAGGATGTGATGGATCCATCAGGACATCGGAGGGCAGTCATCTTGGTCTTGTAGTTGGCGAAGGACAGGCAGGCGTTACGAATACTTTTCCCGGCTTCTGCTGCATCTACCAGTACTTCTGCTCTTCTCTCTTTGAGGTCTTCATTGATTGCATCTCTGCACTGCTTTGCGAGCTCAGACATTAGCTTGCGGTTGCCTGAGGCATGTGCCAAACCACGCTGGTGAATTAGCTCAAGAGTTTTTGAAGATAGGCGATTTTTTGTGGCTATCTCTCTCTTGGCGTTCCTCGCACATTCATGGAGGTGCTGAACCAGTCGATCGTATTCCTCGTCAATGTTGTTAACAATGACATCTTCCCATGTTGCCGCAATAGTACTAAACAGTTCCCAGTTGGTGATCGTTCTGGGAGTTCTCTTTTTGAACTTTGCCGCCCTTTCTCCCCGCTCTGTGAAGTAGAATTTTGCACGAAGGAGACGGTGGTCCGATCCCGTTCGAAATTTTGGAACAACAGCGACATCGGTCAGGCAAAACCGTCGATTGAATATGATGTGGTCTATTTCGTTGTGGAATCGTCCACCGGGAGACTCCCATGTCCATGGTTTAGATTCTACCTTCTGGAACTGTGAGTTACCATGAATGGTCTTGGTCGACATGATGAACTCAGACAGTCTCTCACCCTGTTCATTCCATTCTAGGCCATGGGTCCGGAAGTGAAGTTCTTCAGCTGATCTTCTCGGTCCTATCTTGGCATTAAAATCACCCACAATGATCTTGTAGAAGGTGTGGTCTTCTTTATAGAACTTCTCTAGCTCCATGTAGAACTTCTCGATTTCTCTTTCATCATAATGAGATGTTGGCGCGTAGACAACGAAGATAGAAACTGCAGGCAGTGAGCCACATCTATTCAAATGTAAATGTCCGATTCGGGTTGTTAGGCATTCGAATGAATCAATGCTCTTGGCCAAGTTTGTGTTGACAAGGACACCGACGCCTCCAACACCTCTTTTATCGCATGTTCCGAGGAACAATTCTTCTCCAGTGTCGAAAACGGCATGGTGAGATTCGTGCCTTCTTGTCTCGATCAGACCAATGATATCGTACTTGATCATTCGTGCTTGTACCATCAGGTCCTCGATGGATGTATCTGATGCTAGTGTACGTGCATTGAAAGTACAGATGATCATTTTTGTCTTCCTTCATTGTGGCAGCCTAGGTCGGCCTTGAGATTTTGTCGGCCTCTCCTTTCTCATCCTTCTCAGTGCTGCGATGTCGGTGAAGCCTTCAGGGTCAGGTGAATGAGACCAGTTGTAGTTACTGGTTTTGGCATATCGAATACACAACAGATAGCTTGTCAGGCTCTTCCGTGCGGGCGGAATACTCTCGGTAGCTTGCCAGTCTTTCCGAGAGGGATAGAGTCTCTTGGGGCAACCTCTAATCACCCTTGTAGGTGTTACCATATTTGAGCCCTATCAAATACGGTACGACAATTCCGGAAGATGGGTATTTAGTGTCTTATGATGTGTCGCACGGCAGCAAAGCTGCCGCTCGGGTCCAGAAAGCGTCCTGAAGTGTGGCCACGGCTGGGTAGTGGAAGTAGTGTCGAGTAGTAGTGCAAGGTGATAGCATCCTGCTGGTGCTACTGGTGGTGGGCGGCATCGTGGTGGCCTTGCGCTGCTGGCGTCACACCTTCAAGGGCGACTACAGCACCAAGAAGCACGTGTATGGCAATGACTACAGCAAGGCGGGGGTCCCGCAGCACCATCCGCCCATGGCCCAGAAGCTGCAGTACCCAAAGGACTCAGACGATGAGAAGAAGCCGGGCCCCCTTGGCGGCGGCAGCTACGAGGAGGAGGACGACGAGGAGGGCGGCGGTGGGGGCTGCGGCGAGCGCAAACTGGGGGGCCCCCACCCCAAGTACGACGAGGACGCCAAGAGGCCCTACTTCACAGTGGACGAGGCCGAGGCCTGGCAGGACGGCTACGGGGACCGGACCCTCGGCTACCAGTATAACCCCGAGCAGCTGGACTTGGCCGAGAACATGGTGTCCCAGAACGAATCAATGTTAAAAATACCAAAATACCAAAATACCAAAGCAGCATGAGGAAAAGGCACAAATCCCCACCACAAGGAGGGCTTGAAGAAAAGAGCTCAGAAGCCTCAATAGGGAATACCAACAAATACAATCTATTCAATAAAGAATTCTGAGATGAAATGTTGAGGATGATTATTGAACTCAAAGAAACGATGAAACAGGCACCCAGTAGATTAAAGGAAGCCATGAAAGAAACAGTGGAATGGACAGCCAATAAAATCAGGAAGCAATGAAAGCAGAAAAAAGAAAGCAACAAACAGGTGTCACTAACAAAGGATTCAGGAGATGAAATTAAAAACAGAGTGTGCACGCTCAACAGTAGAATGAACACCACTGCTCCAGCACTGAGAAATAATGTAGGGGTTAATATATTAATATTCCATGTGACTGACCCTGGTTTTATCTCCAGCACCACATATGGTCCCATGAGCACCACCAGGCGTCACTCCTGAGCACAGAGACAGGAGTACTTGAGTATCACTAGGGCTACCCCAAATCTTCTCTCTCTACTCACACACAAAAACACACATACATAACACACACATACACACACTCTTCCTGGGCTGTGTTGATACTATAGTGAGTAGAATGCTTGACATGTATGAAGACAATCTTCAAGGGTTCAAGGAACAATACGTATTGGGTGGCAGGGATTGAATTCAAGTCAACCATGTGCAAGGCAAGTGCGTTTCCCACTGGATTATTACTTTGATCCAGATGACCACACTATATTCAATTACAACTGACATCGAGTGTTCCTTGAGTTCTTCCTGATTCTTTTTATCTTTCAATCACTTAATCACTTATTCATCGATTTACTCGAGCGGGTGCCAGTAACGTCTCCATTCATCCCGGTTGCGTGTTAGCGTAGCCCAATGGTATCTGTTCATTCTAGGAACATGCAGAGCCTCAAACCGATCATTCAGGGTCTTGACGAAGAAGTCTGACCATCTTGTAGGTGGGCGTCCACGTGATCTTTTGATGTCCTGCGGAATCCAATCAGTAATGGCTCTAGTCCAGCAGTTGTCTGTAAACCTCATTACGTGTCCAGCCTATCTGATTTTTGATGTCTTGGCAAATGAGACAGCGTCCCTGATTCTTGAGCATTGACGAAGATCAGAACACCAGATTCTATCTCTCATTTGAGTGAATTGTGATATTCCAAGCATAGCTCTTTCGAATCCTCTTTGAGAGACCCGAATAGCGTTCTCATCCTGTTTTCGTAGGGCCCAGGTCTCTGAGGCATATGTTAATGCAGGAAGAACAGTGGGATCAAAGAGATGTGCTCATAGCTGAAGGTTCTTTGTCCTTTTAGTTATTTCTTCAATGCTCTTAAAGGCATTCCAAGCCGCTCTCCTCCTCCTGCGCAACTCAGGTGCCAGGTCATTCATCATGTTGATTTCTCGACCTAGGTATATATAACTGTTGCATTCGGAGATGGTGATTCCATTGAGAGCGAATGGAGCATCAGGAACAAGGCTGTTTCTCATAAACATTGTCTTCGTAAGATTCAGCTGTAGTCCGACCTTTCCACATTCACGGTCAAGCATTTGTGCCGCTTGGCTGATGTTTGGTGTTATTAAAACAGTGTCATCAGCAAAGCGGAGGTGGTGTAGTTGCCGACCATCTATCTTCACTCCCATGCTTTCCCATTCCAGTCGTAGCATGATGTTCTCGAGGGTGGCACTGAAGAGTTTTGGTGAAATGGTATCACCCTGCCGAACCCCTCTCTTGATATGGATGATTACTTCTTTGTAGAATGGTGAGATCTTGGTAGTGAATCCGCAATAGAGCTCACAAAGGATCCTGATGTATTGAGTTTGTACGCCCTGATTGGCTAGGGCTTCCATGACCGCTTCCATCTCAACAGAATCAAAGGCCTTCTTTAAATCAATGAACGTTAGACAGAGCGGCATCTTGAACTCCCGAGAAACCTCAATGAGCTTAGTAATTGTGTGGATATGGTCGATGGTACTGAATCCTTTTCAGAATCCGGCTTGTTCACATGGTTGTCCTTCATCTAGTGTTCTGCTAATCCTATTCAGGATGACTCGAGTGAACAGTTTGTAGACGACAGACAATAGGCAGATTGGGTGATAGTTGCCAATGTCGTGGATGTCTCCCTTCTTGTATAGTAGTACAGTCCTGCTGGTTTTCCATTTGGATGGAACCTTGCATTCAGACAGGTAGCGTGTGAAGAGCCGAGCCAATGTATTGAGTATTGATGGTAAGTTCTTCAGGTGTTCAGGTCTGATCTTGTCTGGGCCAGGTGCTCTTTGTTTCTTTACCGACGAGATGGCATGTTGGATTTCGGAAGGGAGAACATTGGGAACGACATATCCATCATGTGGTATGTGGTATGTGGGCAAGTGGACGTGGCTATTAAAGAGATCTGAGTAGAAGTCATGAATAATCTTCTCCATTGCCCTCTGGAAGATGTGATAGATCCATCATGGTGTCGGAGGGCAGTCATCTTGGTTTTGTAGTTGGTGAAGGACAGGCGGGCATTACGAATGCTTTCCCCAGCTTCTGCCGCATCTACCAGTACTGCTGCTCTTCTGTTTCTGAGGTCATCCTTGATGGCTTCTCTGCACTGTTTTGTCAGTTCGGATGTTCGCTTGTGGTTGCCTGAGGCATGTGCCAAGCCACGTTGGCGAATAAGTTCAAGAGTGTTCAAAGAAAGATACTTTTTATAGGTTCCAAAATATTCCACACTACTTGGGATTTTCTAATAGATGGTATAATTTTTGATCACAATAATTGGTTATAATGTGTAAATTTTTTCTCATCTGCCAAATCCAATTATCACTTTGAACCTCCATTCAGTTGCGGTCACTCACAGAGAATAAGACAAACACAGAACTAGGAAAACACGCAGATTGAACTAGCTTTAGGGTCACCTGTGCAGCATTCAGTGTCTCATGGCAGGTCAATATAATGCAATATTTCTCCCCCAAACGCAGCAGATTCCTACAGGTGAGCCGTTGTTGGAGTTGACAGGGACATCAAGGACCGTTAGGAAGTATATAAACATGCCACAGGGGCCTGGAGAAGAGAGGCTAGTGTAGTTCTCAGAGAATCAGTAGGCATGAGTAAAATTTAAAGTTGTTTGCGCAGGAGAGAGAATTCAGCGGGCAAGGTACCTCTCTTGCATCTAGTCTACCGAGTTCCTCCAGGAGTGATCCCTGAGTTTGGAGCCAGGAACAAGCCCCGAGCATGGCTAGGTGAGGACCCAAAATCAAAATAAATAAATAAAAGATTGTGAAAGTTGTTTATTCTAGATTTGGCTATATTGTCCCCTAAATCTAAAAGACCCTACAAAGTATTAGCCTATGTTTGCCTGGCACAAGTTTACAGCTGGCAGATACTGTGTCATCTATTCTATCCTTGCCTACTATTCTTTTTTGTGTGCATGTTTTCTAGCGGATCAGCCTAAACTTAGGGGTTTTTGATAGGGGAAGATTTCTTATCATAATCCATCCTTTCCTAATCCTAAAGTAAGTAACAATATATATTATAAAATATTAATATATCAATTAATATTATTGGAATACTCTCGGTAGCTTGCCAGTCTTTCCGAGAGGGATAGAGGCTTTTGGGGCGACCTCTAATCGCCCTCGTAAGTGTTACCATATTTCAACCCTATCAAATATAGTACAACAATTCCGGAAGATGGGTATTTAGTGTCTTATGATGTGTCGCGCTGCCGCAAAGCGGCCACGCGCGTACGGAAAGCGTCCTGGAGTGTGGTGGTGGCTGGGTAGTGGAGGTAGTGTCGGTAGTGTCTGCCAGTGGGGTATTTATCTGGTCCTGGTAGGGGTAGGGTGGGTCTTCTGTGCACAATCCAATCCCTGGGTGGTTGGTGGAAGCAGACAGGGCAGGGTAGGGTGGGGCTCCTGGTTAGAATCCCTTTGTCACCTGTGGTTGGTGGGAGCAAGCAGAGAATCTCTGTCCCTGGGTCTGCCGAGCCTGGAGTCCAAGGTCTCAGAGAGTTCCGCTTATCTTGTTCTGTGGGTCTTCAGTTGTGCGTGAGTCTCGGCCGAAGCTGCCACACGACCTGTCTGAATGCAAGGTTCCGTCCCAATAGAAAACCAGCAGGACTGTACTACTGTTCAAGAAGGGAGACATCCATGACATTGGCAACTATCGCCCGATCTGCCTATTGTCTGTCATCTACAAGTTGTTCACTCGAGTCATTCTAAATAAGATTGGCAGAACACTAGATGAAGGACAACCATGCAAGCAAGCTGGGTTCCGCAAAGGATTCAGCACCATCGACCATATCCACACGATAACCAAGCTTATTGAGGTTTCTCGGGAGTTAAAGATGCCGCTCTGTCTAATGTTCATTGATTTAAAGAAGGCCTTTGATTCTGTTGAGATGGAAGCAGTCATTGAAGTCCTAGCCAACCAGGGCATTCAAGCCCAATACGTCAAGATCCTCCATGAGCTGTATTACGGATTCGCTACCAGGATCTCACCATTCTACAAAGAAGTAATCATTGATGTCAAGAGAGAGGTTTGGCAGGGTGATACCATTTCACCGAAACTCTTCAGTGCCATCCTCGAGAACATCATGCGACGACTGGAATGGGAAGGATGGGAGTGAAGATACATAGTCGGCAACTACACCACCTCCGCTTTGCTGATGACACTGTTTTAATAACACCAAAAATCAGCCAAGCGGCATGAATGATCGATTTGAGGCTCTTCATGTTCCCAGAGCGAACAGATGCCATTGGGCTACACTAGCACACGACAGGGACAAATGGAGATGTTACTGGCACCCACTCGAGCAAATCGACGACTAATGGGAAGTTAAGTGATTAAGTGAATTAATATTATTAAACATTACACAAAATACACTAGTAGTATTGGTTAACTAGGCAATGCAAATTATTACCTAGTAACTTTTGTTTTATTAATGAAATATGTAAGCTCATCAGTATAATAGGAGTATTTCCCTAACCTAAGAGTCTGAGGAAGGTCATACTGTTATAAATATCTTG